TGCTGCAGCAATGCCGTCTGGGGAGAAGCAGAGAGACAAATTTTTATATGGCAATGTGGGGCCCTGGAAGTGAGGAGACACCTGAAAAGGAGACAGACAGCAGCGTGAGAGAAGAGACAGCTGCAGCAGCAGCAACTGTCTCCTCTCTCTTTCTTTATCTCTTGCCTTTCTACCCCTACACCCTAACAAAAGCACTTAGGGTTTAGGGTTATTAGGGTTTAAACGCGGTTGTAGGAGAGTTTGAACGAGGGTTTAGGGTTTAGGGTTTGAGCTAGGGTTTAGGGTTTGGTGCGCAAGGGTTTAGGGTTTACCGAGCTACGGTGTAGGGTTCGAACGAGGGTTTAATGTTTAGGGTTTATGAGATAGGGTTTAGGGTTTAGGGTTTAGAGGCGAGGCCTAGGGCTTCAGGGGGTCTTGCGTAACCCTTCACTGTTTATATCGAGGGTTTAGGGTTTAGGGTTTAGGGTTTGGCTAAATATAAGCAGGGGTTTGTACAGTGTACGCGCGTTAATGCTGCTTTAATAAATGCAGCAGGAGGCTCTGCTGTCTCTTGTTGTCTCCTTTCTTATTAAGGAGAGACAGCTGTCTCCTTGCTGCTTCTCTGCAGCAGCAGCAGCAACATCTGTGCGTTCGCTTGTCTTGCTGCTGCTGCTACCGTTGCTGCTGCTGCTGCTGTTGCTGTCATTGCAGATGAAGCTTCAGAGCCTCTCTGAGGTTGGTGTATATACACCCCAAAACCCTTCTCGCTAGTGCAGCAGCAGCAACAGCAGCTGCAGCTGCTGCTGCTGCGGGGAGGGTTGCAGCTGCACCGTGGTGAAACGCTTGTTCAGTGACTTTGCTGCTGCTGCTGCTGCTGCTGCTGCTGCCACCCGCAGCAGCAGCAGCACAGACTGCTGTTGCGAAGTCTGCAGCAGCAGTCTCCCTGCAGAGGCAACCGCAGCAGCTGCAGCAGCAGTTGCGGCTGCTGCTGCGGCTGCGGCTGCTGCTGCTGCGTCTTTGGCTCTGTAAGAGATGGGAACCGCAGCAGCAAAACTGCTGCCGCTGCAGCAGCAGCAGTGCTTCCATCCACTCGAATCAATGTTTTTTGCTGCTGCTGTTGCTGCTGTTGCTGCTGCTCTCACCAGCAGCAGCAGCAGCAGCAGCGAGACAGCCTACCAAACAGTACTTTTAAGGTGTCTCTGCTCTATCCTATGGCTATGACGAAACATATCTGTCTCCTTGCTGCAGTTGTCTGTTTGTTGCTATTGCTGCAATTGTCTGCTTGCTGCTGTTGCTGCAGTTGTCTGCTTGCTGCTGTTGCTGCAGTTGTGTGGTTGCGGCTGTTGCTGCAGCAGCTGTCTCCTTTTTGCTGCGTTCGTTGGGGTGTACAAGTGTCTCCGTTAGGAGCAAGACAAATTTTATTTCTTTTGTTTGTTTTACATTAAGAAGACTTCTATTAAGCCGCAGCAAACCCCAAGGAGCTGCAGCAGATGCAGCAGCAAACCTAAAGGCTGCTGCAGCAAAGTTGCTGCTCTTAACTGCGGGCTCCAAGGGACCCCCCCCCAATTACAAACTGCATGCAGCCCCACAGCTATAAAAAGATTTGCTCCGTACACTGCAAACGGCTGCTGCTGCTGCAGCTGCTGCAGCTGTTGTTGTTGTTGCTGCTGCTGCTGCAGCAGCAGCAGCTGTTGCTCCTGCAAAGGGAGAAGCTGCAAAAAGGAGCGGCTTTTTAGGTGTACATACACCGCAATAAAACCGAAGGCAAATGTGTAAACCAGCTGCGGCAGATGATGCTGCAGCAGCTGCTGCAGCTGCTGCTGCAGCAGCTGCAGCAGAGAAATCTTTGCTGCTGCACTGTCTACACGCCACTCGCGGGCTTCCAGCAGCAGCAGCAAAGAATTTGCTGCCTCGACTTCCTGAGCCCTCAAGCTGCTGCTGCTGCTGTTGCTGCAGCAGATGCTGCTGCAGTCCGCGCACTGCGGCTGCAACTGCTGCTCCTGCTGTACCTGGCGCTGCTGCACCTGCTGCCCCTGAAGCTGCTGCTTCTTTTGAGAGGGGCCCCCTTCCAGTTGCTGCTGATTTTGATGCTGCTGCTGTTGAACGTACGCAGCATCAGCAGCAGCAGCAGCAGCAGGCTTTTCATGTGTATTTGCTGTTGCTGCAGTGGTTATTGCAAGAGTTGCTGCTGCTGCCTTCAGGGCCCCCGGGTGGCAGTGTGCAACAGAGAAAAGAACAGCAGCAGCAACAACGCACTTGCTGCTGCTGCAGCCAGCAGCAGCAAACAGCAGCAGCAACACGCCCCTAAATACAAACTCCTCTAGAAAGGGTGCAGCAGCAAGACACCAAAGCCTCTCAGTTATATTCACATGTTTTGCTGCTGCGGGTGCTGCTGCGGGTGCTGCTGCTGCTGCTGCGGGTGCTGCTGCTGCTGCTGCGTGTGCTGCTGCAGTAGCTGGTTCTGCTGCTGCTGTATCGCTCAGGGGGAGTAGGCTGCGGCAGGTCTTTGCTGCTGCAGCGGTAGTTGCTGCAACAGCTGCTGCTGTTGCTCTACCAACTGCTGCTAGCGCTGCTGCTGCTGCTTTAAGTGCTGCGGAGAAAGAGGTATGCCCTGCTGCAGCACAGATAGATACACCGTAAAGCAGCAGCAAGAAGCGCAGCGACTGAACAGCAGCAGCAGCAGCAGCAGCAGCAGCACCCTCCCAAGACACCGGAAGGCCCAGCAGCAGCAACAGACATCGAAGCCTCATGGATCCCCCCGCTGCAGCTGCTTCTGCTGCTCCTGTTGCTTCTGCTGCCTCTGCTGCTCCTGCTGCACCTGCTGCACCTGTTGCAGCTATTTCTGCTGCTGCTGCCTCTGCTGCTGCTGCTCCCGCAGCTGCTGCTCCTGCTGCTACTGCTCCGGAGCAGCGCAGCGGCGGCAGCAATAAATACAACAACCCCACCAGCAGCAGGCTGTAGAAAGACAGAGACAGAAGACGCAGCAGCAAAACCCGAGGAGAGAAGGGACCCTCTTCAATAAGCCGCTGCAGCAGCTGCAGCAGCAGCAGCCTCCAGCTGCTGCGCATTCTTCTGCTGCTCCTGCTGCTGTTCCTGCTGATACCACCCTTGCTGGTGATGTTGCTGCTGCTGCATACCCTCAAGCAGCTGCGGCTGGTTCTGCTGCTGCAGGTGCTGCTGCTCCTGCTGCTGATTGAGCTGCTGCTCCTGCTGCAGCTGGAGCTGCTGTTGGCTTTGCAGCTGCTGCCGCTGCAGCTGTCCCCTCGAGACAGCAGCAGCTGCAAGAGAATGCAACAGCATTGGGGTGTATACGCAGCTATTACATACAGTACAGTTAGTATAGGTGCAGCAACAGCAGCCGCTAGAGGTGATATTGAAAAGCTGCATAGCTGCTGCTGTTGCTGCTGCTGCTCCTGCAGCTGCTGCTGCTCCCCCAACTCCGACAGCGTCCTCCTGCTGCTGCTGCTGTTGCTGCTGCTGCTGCTGGTGGCGTGTAGCACCAACAGTGCAGCAGCAGCAGCACACATAGAGAGAGAAGACCTATACCCTCTGCAGGGAGCAGCAGCTTTATTCGCACTTTGTGCTGTTGCTGCTGCTGCTGCAGATGGTGCTGCAGCAGCAGCAGCTGTTTCTGCTGCTGCTGCTGCAAGCCCGCTACGAGCTTCATCGCTAGCAGGAAGCGCAGCATGAGCTCGTCTGCGGGTATTCATTCTCCTAAAAAAAGAAACCCTAAACCCTAAACCCTAAACCCTAAACCCTCAATAACACCTGATCGCTGTGCCGCATGCAGCCCCGGAACCGGCGCATGCACGCAAGCCCTAATACACCCTAAACCCTAAACCCTAAACCCTAAACCCTAAACACTTCTTTAGCATAAGCAATATTTAATCTATTCCTGCTGAGAATAGCTGCAGCAGGCAGACCCTCAAACCCCTCACCTTCTTGGCTTCCTGTAGACACCCCCCTAAACCCTAAACCCTAAACCCTAAACCCTAAACTCTAAACCCTAAAACCTAAGCCCTATGCTCTAAAACCTATGCTCTCCTCCGGCACTGGGGCCCTCTGAGGCCTTCATGGGCAGCTGCCAGTCGCCTGCCTGCGGCCGTTGCGTGCGCCGCCTCTCAAACCCTAAACCCTAAACCCTAAACCCTAAACCCTAAACCCTCATGATGGCGTATACAGCCCCACACCTCCGCTGGTGCGCCGGCCCCATCTTTGAAGCTGTAGCCGTCTACGGTCTTCTCCTTTGCTTCGGTAAGCAACCCTAAACCCTAAACCCTCCTTTGCAGCAAACCCTAAACCCTAAACCCTAAACCCTAACCCTAGGCTCTAGCTAGATGCTTCCTGCAATGTTTTGCTTCTCCTCTGAGGCATGCAGCAGCAATACTTCACTCGAGAGCATAGGGTTTCTGCTGCTAGGGTTTAGACCGGGGAATCGAGGGTTTAAGGTTTAGGGCTTATGGCTTAGGGTTTAGGGTTTGAGGGGTGCCGTCTATACACCGCAGGTTGTCGCTCTTCGTCTTCCTGTCTCTCCGTTTTGCTTTTCTTACTTTCTCTTCTCTTTAGGAGCTGCTGCCTTTACAGTGAGTGCAGTATTAACCCCAAACCCTAAACCCTAAACCCTAAACCCTAAACCCTAGTTTTTAAGTGCGTATGAATATATGCATGCATGTGTGCGTATGTTGGTATGTATATATCTCTTTCTATCTAGCAGCAGCAACATCAGCAGCAGCAGCAACTGCTGCTGCTGCTGTTCCCCTAGTGGGCAGTCTTACACTCTGTTTGCTGCTGCTGCTGCTGCTGCTGCTACTGCTGCTGCTGCGGTCGTCACATCTCCGCTTTTGCTTCTTGCTGCTGCTCCTTCATGCGCTGCAGCAGCTGCTGGTGCCTACCTGGAGCCGTTTCAGCAGCAGCAACAGCAGCAGAAGCAGCAGAAGCAGCAGCAGCAGCCAGCAACCCTAAGAAGCCCCACACGCTACAGAAGCCCCCACAGCAGCAATTGGGGTGTATCTGCAGCTTTTGTGCTTCCGAGGATACGTCTTCCTTTCAATCCGCTGCTGCAGCTGGTGCTGAGTGCCTGGGCTGCTGCTGCTGCTGCTGCTGCTGCAGCAGCAGCAATAGCAACACAGTGCAGAGTGCAGCTGCCCTTAGCAGCGCTGCTGCTGGCTTCTTGTCAGGGGTATGCTGCAATGGCTGGCTGCGCTGCTGCTGCTGCTGCTGCGGTTGCTGCTGTTCTTGCTGCTGTTGCTGCTGCTGCGACCACTTGGGGAGGCAGCAGCAGCAACAGCCAACATGTTTGCTGCATTCGGGTGTATGTGCAGCTTCTTGTCTACCTACCGCTTCGCTGCAAGACAGCAGCATGTGCTGCTGCTCTGCCGCCCGTCTCTTGCTCCTGTGCTGTCTCTGCATGTTGCTTCCGTGAGCTGCTGCTGCTGCTGCTTCTTTTGCTGCTGCGGCTCCTCGTACTGCTCCTGCTCTTGCTGCTGCTTCTCGCGGTGCTGCTGCTGCTGCTTTTCCCGGTGCTGCTGCTGCTGCTGTGTCTGTGGTGTTTGCCTCCTGCACTGTCTCTTCATCTACCGGCTGTTGCTGCTGTTGCTGCTGCTGCTGCTGCTGCTCCTTTAGCCTCTGGGGGTTTGCCTTACGGCGTCTCCACAGCGTGTTGTTGTTGCTGCTGCTGCTGTTTGCTGCAGGGCTTGGTGCAGCTGATAGTCTCTGCAGCAGTTGCTGCAGCGGCGTGGGTGCTGCTGCTGCTGTCTGCTGCAGCAGCAGTGCTCTCGCAGCAGGTGCTGCTGCTGCTGAACTCCATGCAGGAGAAGCAGCAAACGAGAGTTGTTGTTGCTGCTCCGGCGGTTGCTGTGTTGCAAGTGCTGCAGCAGAAGCTGCAGCAGCTGCTGCTGGTGCCTACGCCTGCACCTGCAGCAGCAGCAGCAGCAGCAGCAGCAGCAAATGATAGCTTGGCAGCACGCCGATTGTGAGTTTTCTTTTTATTGTTTAGGGGCTTGCAGCATTTTCTTATTTTAGGGTTTATTACTTAGGGGCCCCGGATGGAGGGTTTAGGGTTTGCGGCTGTGTATGTTCCTGCTGCTGCTGTTGCTGCTGCTGCTGTTGCTGCTGCTGCAGGCTCTTCTGGGTTTGCTTCCTCGCACTGCTGTGGCTGATGTCAGTGCTGCAGCAGCGACAAATAGCAGAGGCACACGCCCGGCCCTCCAGAGATGTGCGCAACGCTGCTGCTGCTGCTGCTGCTTGTCTTGCTGCTGCTGCAGCTGGTCCTGCTGCTGCTGCTGTTGCCTGTCGTGCTGCTGCTTGTGCTGCTACTGCATGTGCTACTGTTGCTTGTGCTGCTACTCCTGTTGCTTGTGCTGCTGCTGCTTGTGTATGTGAGTGTGGCGACTCTGCTGGGGGTGCATGCGTTGTTTGCTGCTGCAGGCAGCAGCAGCAGCAGTAGTGCTGCTGCAGCAAGACGTAGACACCTGGGCTGAAGCCCCAGCAGACCTCATTGTAAGCCCTGCTGCTTAGTGTCTCCTTTTGCTTCCTTGCTGCTAGATCAGGCAGCAGCAACAGCAGCAACAGCAACAGCAACAGCAGCAGCAGCAACAACACCAGCAGCAGTCACAGCAGCAGCAACAGCAGCAGCAGCAGCAATAGCAGCAGCAGCAATAGCAGCAGCAGCAGCAATAGCAGCAGCAGCAGCAATAGCAGCAGCAGCAGCAATAGCGGCAGCAGCAGCAAGTAGTGTATGTGTGCCCTTGCTGCTGCAGAGCCTCGCTTTCCTGGGTCTCCGCCAGGCTGTCTCCTCTCTGCGGCTGTCGGTGGATAGGAGCAGCAATCGTTACGTGCAGCAGCAGCAAATATGTCTCTCTAGCAAAGACAGCAGCAGCAGCCACGGCAGCAGCAGCAGCAGCACGGGCCGCCGGGTAGGTACTGCAGATTTCCTTCGAAGCTTCAGAGGCATCTCGCTAGCTAGCTAGCTAGCTAGCTAGCTAGCTGTCTATCAATCTATCTGTCTGCCTAGCTAGCTAGCTAGCTAGCTATCTGTCTGTCTAGCTAGCTAGCTAACCAGCTAGCTGTATTCCTGCTGCTATGCTGCTGCTGCTGCTGCTGCAGGCCGGGGATTTTACCTTCCCGCAGACACTCAGCGAGTTGAGGGGCCTCGATGTCTCTCACTTGCTGCTGCAGCAGCAGGACGACCAGCTGCCAGTATGCTGCTGCTGCTGCTGCTGCTGTTGTTGCTGCTGCTGTCTCGGCTCTTGTTTCCGCTGCTGCTTGGAGTGCTGCTGCTGCTAGTTGTGCTGCTGCAGCTGCTGCTGCGGCTGTCGTTGTCTTCGGAGCAGCAGCCTTTTCAAGTTGCTGCTGCTGCTTCAGCGACCTCAGCATTGTTTGCTGCTGTTTGCTGCTGCTGCTGCTGTTGTGCTGCAGGTCTTTGAAGCTTTTGTTTCTCTCGTGCTGCAGCAGCTGCGGCTGCAAAACGCTCTGCTGCGGCTGCTGCCGATTGTCTCCTCTCCTGCTGCTCGCCAGGCCCATAGCGCCGTCCGTTGTTGTTGCTGCTGCTGCTGCTGCTGTGTCTGTGTTTGCTGCAACAGGGGTTTAATTCTGCTGCTGTTGCCGATGCTGCTGCTGTTGCTGAGCCTGCATACGCTGATGAGTGCTGTTGCGTGTCTTGCTGCAGTTTATGTACAGCAGCAACACGCTGCCAAGCAGCAGCAGCAGCAGCAGCGGGTTGTTTTCTAGTCGGTGGTCTTCTGCTGCAGCGGCAGAGTCTGCTGCAGTGCAGCAGCTGCTGCTAGAAATGAGGAATCCGCAGCGAGCTGCTGCTGCTGCTGTTGCTGCAGCAGCAACAGCAGCAGAGGCCCTTACAGGCTGGTTATGCGTACTTAGTGCGCTAGGAAAAGGTAATGCTGCTGCTGTTGCTGCTCCGTCTGCTGTTGCTGCTGCTTCTTCTTCTGCTGCTGCCGTTGCTGTTGCTGCAAAACGCAGCGGCAGCAACTGGAAGCTGCTGCTGCTGTTGTTGCTGCACTTGATGGGGCCGGCTTCACCTAATGCTGCAGCAAGGCTTTACTTCTGCTGCTGCTGCTGCTGCTGCAGGGTTTGGAGTCGTGGGAACTGAGGTGGCTGTACAGCTCAGCCGAGAATTAGTATGTTTTAGTTGCTGCTGCTACTGCTGCTGCTGCTGCTACTGCTGCTCGTTCTGCTGCTGCTGCAGGCAGGCTGTAGTATAAGCTGCTACGGCAGCCAACTAATGCGAGCTGCCATCGCTGCTATTGCTGCTGCTGCTGCTGCTGCTGTTGTGTATGTGAGCAGGCTTTGTCTTGCTTGCAGCAAGAAGCAGCACAGCAAGAAGTTTGCTGCCAGCTGCTGTCTCCTCTGCTGCGAGAAGCTTCATTCAGTGAGAGTCCCCTGTCTCCTTTTATTTATTCTCAGCTGTCTCTTTTCTATATTCTGCTGTCTCCTTTAGGCCCCGCTGCTGCTGCTGTTGCTGCTGCTGCAGTAATGCGCCGCTTTCTCCTGCTGCTGCTGCTGCTTCCAACGCTGTTTCTTACGGTTTGCTGCTGCTTGTGCTGCTTGTGCTGCTGCTGTTGCTGCAGCAATGCGCGACTGTCTCCACCGCCTTCGGGTGTATAGGGAGCCCATCCTCGCTGCAGCAAAGGGCTGCTCCGTGTTGGTGCAGCGACTGCTCGAGGAAACCTTTGCTAATTAGCTGTATAGACAGCTGCTGCTGCTGCAGCAGCAGCAGCTGCAACTGTACTAGCAGCAGCAGCAGCTGCTGCTGCTGCAGCAAGAAGTGCAGCATAATCAACAGAAGGAGACAACTCTAAAAAGTCATTCTCCGTTTGCTTAGGGAGGTCTTTTGATGGCCCAGGCTGGGGTGTACGTACACCCCAGGACTCTGCTGCTGCTGCTGCTGCTGCTGCTGCTTGTTGTCTCCTTGCTGCCCCCAAGGGGCCTTGCTGCTGCCGCAGCAGCGTAGCAGCAAACCCGTTGGCATTCATTTCAAGTGGGCAGCTACCTGCTGTTGCTGCTGCTGCGCCTTGCTGCTGCTGCAAGGTGCCCGCTGCCCTACTAGCTACCTACAGCTAGCTACAGCTAGCTAACTACAGCTAGCTACAGCTAGCCACCTGCAGCTAGCTAGTTACCCGCACTTAGCACAGCAAGCTACAGCTAGCTACCTGCAGCTAGCTCCAGCTAGCTGCACTTAGACAGGTAAAGGTAGCATCAGTTAGCTAGCTACACCTAGCTAGCTGTTGCTAGCGGCCAGTACTTGCAGCTAGCTACAGCTAGCTACAGCTAGCTACAGCTAGCTACGGCTAGCTGTGGGGTGCTGCAGTATGCAGAGGCGGGGACCGAATATTAAAAGCAGCGGGTTGTAGGACAGCAGCAACACCTATATTGTACTCTCAGCAGCATATAATATAGAAGAGACATTTATATTCATAGCAGCATTAGATATGTAATAAATATAATATAATATATATATATATTTATTTATTTATTATATTATTATAATGTTATACAAGAGATAATTATTTGTGTTGCTGAGTGCAGCTAAAGAGACTCCTGCTCAGGCAGCCTATTTATAAGCAGCTGCAGCAGAACAAGTGCAGCAGCAAATGCTGCTGGATTAGCTGCTGCTGCTGATATACAGCAGCAGAGACTACAGCAGCAGCAGCAGGAGATACAGCAGCAGGAGGCACTGCAGCAGCAACCGGAGCAGCAGCAGTTTGCTGCATGCATTCTGGGGTGTCTGTACAGCTGAATGAGGCATCAAAAGCCCCACACATGCATTAACTTAATCTACATCCTATATAAATTTCATATTTACTAATGAAAAACTACATTTGCTGCTGCTGCTGCTGCTGCTGCAGTTGCTGCTGCTGCTGCTGCTGCTGCTGCTGCTGTTGGGGCTGTGCTGTGGGGACTTTGGGGGCCCCCAGGCGTTGAGGGCCCCCTGCAGGTCTTATTAATATTCTTTTTCATATTTATGTATTTATTAATTATATTTTATATTTTAATTGTTTTATTTTATTTGCTTTCTGCTGCATCGTTTGTACAGGTTTGCTGCTAACTGTCTCCTTCCTCTATACTTACAGAGATAAGCAGAGCTGTCTCCTTTGTCTCTTTTTCTCGCTTCTTTCTGTCTCCTTCTGTCTCCTTCTGTCTCCTTTTGTCTCCTTTTGTCTCCTTCTGTCTCCCCCTGTCTCCTTCTGTCTCCTTCTGTCTCCTTCTGTCTCCTTCTGTCTCCTTCTGTCTCCTTCTGTCTCTTTCTTTGTTGCTTTCTTTGTTTCTTTCTCTGTCTCTATCTTTGCCTCTCCTTTGTCTCTTCTTTGTCTCTATATCTGTCTCTTCTTTGTCTCTATCTTTGTCTCCTTCTTCTGTCTCCTTTCTATATCTTTTCTGTCTCTTCTCTATATCATCTCTGTCTCTTCTCTGTCTCTCCACTGTCTCTCTTTATCTTCTTTAACTATATTTCTATTATTATATCTTTAATAGATGAATAAGACAAAGAAGCTGAGGCCCCAGGGGGCCCCCTCAACCTCTAGTGTCTCCTTGAAATGCAGCAAACCCAAACTAGGGGGCCCCTCAAAACAGCAAAAAATTAAAAAGAGACAAACACAGCCCCTTCTTAAGGGTGTCTCCTCTCTTCCTGAATTCATACAAATGCCTCAGGGGCCCCCTGAGGGCCCCCCTGAGGGGCCCCCTAAGGGGCCCCCTGAGGGGCCCCCTGGGGAGGCCCCTAGGGGCCCCCAGGAGGTTAGCCAAGATAAGGGGGCCCCAGGGGGGCCCCCTGAGGGGCCCCCAGGGGGCCCCCCTGGGGTAGAGGAGACAGAGAAGAAGGCTTTCTGGAAGGGTAAGAAGAAGCAATAGTTTATAGGGTTTGTGTTTCTCTTTGTTTGTCTGTCTCTTAATTTGTTTGTTTTTGTCTTCTTCTCTTTTGCTGTCTCTTTATTTGTCTCTTGGCTTTTTCTTTCTGTCTCCTTCTTTGTCTGTCTCCTTCGTTGTCTGTCTCCTTCTTTGTTTTTTATTTCTGCTTCCTTTGTTTATATCTCTCTCTTTCTTTGTCTCTCTCTCTTTGTCTGTCTCTTCATTTATCTGTCTCTTTATTTATATGTCTCCTTTGCTGCTTCCTCCTTTTGCTGTCTCTTTTGATTTCTTCTGTCTCCTTTTGTCTCTTTCTTTGTTGGTTGTCTCTTTATGTCCTATCAGCCCCTTCTTTTTATCTTTCTATCCTCTCTCTTCTGTCTCCTTTCTCTTCTATTTATTCTGTCTCCTCATCGCTGTCTCTTCTCTCTACTGTCTCCTCTTCTGTCTCCTTTTCTGTTTCTCTTTTATATATGCTGTCTCCTTATCGCTGTCTCTTCTCACTTCTGTCTCCTTTTCTGTCTCTCTCTCTGTCTCTTCTATTTATTCTGTCTCCTCATCGCTGTCTCTTCTCTCTACTGTCTCCTTTTCTATCTCTATTTGTTTCTTTTTGCATGCCGTTTATTCTCTTGTTTATTTTTTTAATTGCCTCTCTTTTTCTTTTTATCTCTGTCTCCTTTTTTATGTTTGTTTGTTTGTTTGTTCGTTTGTTTATTTCTACCTCTCTTCTACTGTCTCTCTTTATTTATTTTGTCTCTTTATTTATCTGTCTCTCTGTCTCTATTTCTTCGTATATCTTCTGTCTCCGTTTCTATCAGTCTCCTTTTGTCTCTTCTATCTCCCTATATATATATATATATATGCATATACCATATATATATATATATATATATATTATATATATATATTTATATTTATATCTTTATCTGTCTCTCTCTGTCCCCTTTATCTTTATTTAAATCTCCTTCTCCTTCTTCTCTTTTCTTTTGTCTCCTTTTTTATCAGACCCTAAAAGCCGAAGTATTTGGCGTCTCCTTCAGCAGCAAATGTCTTCAGAGACTTCTTCTATTAACGATATCAAGGGGCCCCTGGGGGGCCCCCAGGGGCCCCATGGGGGCCCCCGAGGGGCCCTAAGGGCTCTGCAGCACTCTGCGCATTTTGATGCTGCTGCTTTTATAAGAAATTCTCTTGTTGCTTCGGGGGGGAAGTATCGCAGTGTCGCTTCAAACCCTAAACCCTAAACCCTAAACCCTAAACCCTAGAAGCAAGTGCAAGCTGATGCATTAAAGGGGGCCCCCATCACCTGTCAACAAGGGGCCCCTATGAATATAAATATCTCTGCAGATGTATGCTTTATATATATATATATATATATATATATATATTAAGGGGGCCCTCTAAACATGAGAGAAATTAATACAGAATATTCAGAGGCGCATGCAGTACCCTGGGGGCCCCTAATGAATGAAGGGGGCCCCTAGTAAATGAAGGGGGCCCCCCTATATAACTTAAATTGAAGGGGCCCCTGATATATATTCAATTGGTTGAGGGCCCTCTTTATATTGAAGGGGGCCCTCAAACACTTTTCTTCTTCACTCTGCAACCTTTTCTCTTTTCTATAAATAAACAAATAAATAAATAAATAAATAAATAAATATATATATATA